AAGATCTCATGGTTCGGCTCCAGAGTTCGAGACTTGCATGGGGCTCTGCACTGACAGCGTGGAGCTTGCTTGGGATTCTCTATTACTCCCCCAAGCTTGTGCTCAGGAAGGAAGGAAGGAAGGGAGGAAGGGAGGGAGGGAGGGAGGGAGGGAGGGAGGGAGGAAGGAAGGCAGGCAGGCAGGCAGGCAGGCAGGCAGGCTGGCTCACCCTAGAGGTGTGTCCATAAAGAACAGTAGTTAGAAGCACACATAAACTATAAGTCTATATATCTGTCTTAATAGGCAGTAATAACTACAGATACAACATTAAAAATGGGGAGGGAGGAGCTTTAACTATTTCCCAGCAAAAACAATAGCTACTTTTTTTTTTAATTTTTTTTTCAAAGTTTATTTATTTTTTGGGGGGACAGAGAGAGACAGAGCATGAACAGGGTAGGGGCAGAGAGAGAGGGAGACACAGAATCGGAAACAGGCTCCAGGCTCTGAGTCATCAGCCCAGAGCCCGTCGCGGGGCTCGAACTCACGGACCGCGAGATCGTGACCTGGCTGAAGTCGGACACTTAACCGACTGCGCCACCCAGGCGCCCCAGCACATTTTTTAAAAAGGAAAAAATTTAAATATGTACTTGGGAAATTATATTTCTTATGATCTAAGAATTGATACTATAGAGTGTTATGTACTTTTTTCCTATTTCAACAGTTTCAAAAGTGGAGGGTCAGCTTGCATATCCCTTTTTAGCACAGACGGGAAGAGCAAAGAAATATGGTTAATAACAGACACAAAGCAAGGGAAAACCCCTTTTGTTCTATATGTTAACCATTACAATCAACTTCTGCCTCTAAAATGTAAATACCACTTACCTCCACCACTAATAATAATAATTGCTAACAAAGACTGAGAATTGACTATGTGTCAGGCAAAGACCACCTTCACTGCACTAGCTTATTTAACCTTCATAACTCATCATGGCTAATCAAGGACTATTTCCAAAGCCTATGCCTCTCATGATCACTATATCTCACTTAAAGTAAGCTCAGATAAATTTCTTTAATCATGGACATTAAGAAAATGAGTTTTAAGTGGAATAGAGGAGAAGAGGGGGGAGGAAGATCTTTAAAAAGCCAGGAAGGGAAAAAGAAAACAAGAGAAATATGCCTGGGAAGCAGGCAGCTGTGGGCAGTCAGAGGTTTATGGGGATACAGAGGGTAGAAGTAGAATGATGTTATACAAAGCAGAAGAGAAAATCAAACTATAGCAAAAATCAGTCTAACCTAAGCTTTCTTTTCATCCACATACCCTGGGTGAATTCAGTAAGCTTTCTGGTTGAAAGAACTACTAAAGCAGATAGTTAAGAATAACAGAAATGACCAAAGAGAAAGTAACAGACTATATCCACTGGCTCTACAACCCACCCTGCTTAGGGCTAGAAGTAAGAATTTTACAGTATAACGCACCTTATCAGCCCATCTTGGTTCCCAACCTCGGCTCCCCACCTGGTAGGTGAGTGACCCTGAACAAGTCACTGGAGGGTTGAGCCTCTGTCTCTTCCCCAGTAAAACTGTGCCAATAATATCTATTTCAAGAGAACATTTTTCTTTTTTTCCTTCTTTTCTCTTGAACCCACAGCACCATCTTGAGACTTGCCCTTTGTCAAGTGTGGTTTCAACTACATAATTACGTTCAATTATTTCCAAGCACAAACTATAACTTTTTATTCACAGATTTAAAAAGACATTATAAAAAAAAAAAAAAACTGTCCTACCTTTAATTAATAAATATATAATGAATCCTCATTATATAACCAGGACTACACTATGTACTAAATGTGCGATGCAGAAATAGAGCCATGGGTTGAGACCCTATCATCAAACCATAGTGCAGAGTTTTACTTTACCATTTATTTAGTACTTAGGTGCCCTTGGGTAATCAAATAGTAATGGTGACAAAAACCAACATGTGTTTGTTAAGCCAGGCTCTACTGCATGTATTTACCTTATGTAACGGTCTCAATAATCCTATGAAGTAGGTACCACTACTTCCCCCATTTTTCAAATAAGGAACTGACCACAGAGTGGATAAGCAACTTGACCAAGGTCACCAGACTGCATGCAGACGACAGGCCTCTAGAGCACCAGTCCTGTGCTCCAAACTATTAAACAAGAGTCTACACTATACGCATAAGCACATTCTCCAGGGCTGTTTTAAGGATTACAAATAGTATTTTTGAAGAGCTTAGGATAGTAAGCACACAGTAGGTGAACAAGAAAACACACAAGGATGCAAGCCATACTGGAGAACAAAGCAAACGTTAGAAGGAAATTATTCGGGTTCCTTAGTCCCAACCCTCTTCCAAAGTCTTAGGACACTTGATCTATTAGTATCCAACATAAGGTCAAAGTTCCATGTATATACTTCATACTACAGATTGTTGTAAAAGGGAAAAATTTAAGTCAAAAAACATAACAAACCACCATAAACACCAAACTTCCTCTTCACAGAAAACCCCTGAGCTATCTCCATGCCTCCATGAGCCTCATTCTGCAACCATTGCTGATGTTGGTCAGAATGAACATGAGATTTGCAAAAGACGTTTAAAAAAAGAAAAGAAAAAAAAAATTCTTAATTTCATCACAAAAATGGGGTAGGTTGGTTAGAATTCTTTTTTTTTCTTTAGATAAACTGCGAGTTTATTCATGTTGTTTAACCTGATGGTTATAGCTTGTTAAAGTTATATATTGCTTTAAGAGCGATTGGTGGTGATAAAAAATTATTCACAAAAATGAATCAGAAGTCATTTGGGCTTTAAAAGGATACCACACTCCTAAAAATACCAATTTTTATCTGTTAGGAATGGGTGGTTGGAATTATTCTTAATACAAAGCAAAATGAAAAAGTTTCGAGAGAATTTGTTTTTGAAGCAATACAATGTATCAGAATCACTAACAGAATATAAAATACATCTATCCCTATGGTTTTGAATGCTGTGTCTCTTAACTTCCATACAGTTTTATTTAAGTCAAGCTGAAGGGCTGAGTTCCTAGAAATCTCTGTATGAACTCTTTGTAGTTTTGAATCATTGAATTTGGGGAACTCAGTAATCTAGTTCAACCCCTTCACTTTAGAAAAGAGGAAAGCAAGGGAAGAGAGAGTTAATCGTTCGTTCCAAAGTCATGAAGTTTGTAAAGACTGGCTTCCTTTCTTCCAGTCGGATGGTCTCCTCACTAGGAGTATTCCTATTCCTCAGTTGCACTGAGCTAGAGAAAGCTAAATTGGATAAGCAGAACATACGAGTATCGGGCAAAAAAAAAAAAAAAGGTAGGTGTGTATAAAGAGAAATATATGCTCACTAGGCAAAAGGTCATACATCCTATTTTGTTTTATCCTCTACCTAGTGATTTCAAAATGAAGTTCCTCCAAAGAAAAATGAACTGGAGGATTTCTCCCTTTGCATTGTACTAAAGCAAACTACTTTATACTTTATGGAGAAAAGGCCTACTACAAATTTTAGGAAACTCTGTAATATGGAGTCTGAAGCTACGCCCTCCACTGTTTATCCAAACACTTCCTTTAGCCCCGTGTCCTTAAAAACTTGAGTCAAAACCCGGGATGCATTTATGCAAGCAAGAGGGAAAGCTAGGAATGTGAAGCCGTCACTCCCTGACTGTTGCCAAAGCTGCTACAGAAATAAGATGGCAAATGTATAACATGGACATTTTCATTCATTTCTCCTTAAAGTTAAAAGGACTCTTCGTTTTTAATCAAACTTATACGCCAAAAAGGAGTAGTTCTTTCTCTACCAGATGTCCCTTTGAGGCCCCGACTTAAAATCGGTTTTATTTGTGTAAGATTCCTCAGCGTGCGACGCAAAGTGATCGGAACTCCTGTTTGTCAATGTCACTTCTCTGTTGGCATTTGTCTGATGGAGCGCCCTCCCAGGGCCGTCACAAGACCGCTGGAAAACAGCCCTGGAAACGGATGGGGGCAGCGGGATACCACTTACCGAGAACACCGCATTCTGAAGCCCAAAAGGTATGGGGGTCAGTCTGGCCAGTGCCACCACTTTCAGGCCGCTTCCTCCCTCCACCACGCGAATAACGGCGCTCAGCTTCTCGCTGCTCTGGATCCTGGCGGCCACCCAGGAGGTGAGGAGCCGCTTGCAGACCACATGGGCGATGAAGGTGCCGATGAGGACGCCCACCACCATAAGTCCCATGCCCAGCACGAAGCCGTACAGGTAGCCCGCGGCCACGTTGAGCACGATGTAGCCCCAGCCGCAGGGGAACGACACCACGATGAAGCCCACGACGAAGAGCAAGACCCCCAGCAGCGAGTCGAGGCTTTCCACCCAGAGCAGGAGGTGCTGCAGGTAGCGGCGGACCAGGGCCAGGGAAGCGAAGCACAGCGCGGCCAGCACGCACACCAGCACGAGGCTCCGGCACCAACAGGTGCTGCCGAGGCAGCAGCAGCGCCAGTTTCTCACCTCCGCCACGCCGACCACCACGCCGCCGCCGCTGCCGCTCCCGGGGCCGCCCGCCAAGGCCCCGCCCGGCGCCGGCAGCTCCGAGGCCGCAGGCGGACCGTGGCGCTCCAGAT